AACGGAAGCTGATTTCTGCTTTCAGCCTCACATCACCTCCCTGCACTTCAGCTCCATTGCCCTGTACATTTCACCCATTAAAAGGACCTTGCTGCTCAGATGTGCCATGTAAACACAGCATCACGGATCACCTCCCAGGAAACGATCTTCCCATCCTTCCCACAAAGCAGCATTCCTCATAAAGACAAATGTTTCCTGCACACCAGCTGTTTGCTGCCCTATCCAATACGGCTGCAAAGAGGGTGAGTCTTCTCCATATTTGCTCAGTGACCAATTCAAGGGAAGCAATCTTGGTGTCTCCGGAGGCCCTCCCATAATAAACTTGATTAGTAACAATTAAAAATTCATTACAGCTTTAATTACAGCCAGTATCGTGCCACCTGGGTTCATTCACCAGTAGCTTATAAAGATATGGCAACTGTCATGTTTCTTTCTGAGTTCCAGTGTAAAGAACATTGCACCACTCGCACCCGGATCGGGCTCATATGGTGGACACCCGCTTTCTCACTCTGCTTCTGGCAATGTCCTGCATGCAGCCATCTCTGTGTCCCACCCAAAAGTCCTGACACTCCAGCACACGGCCCAGCTCCTCTCTGGGGGCTCTGCAGAATTCCTCCACTTCACTTTTGGCACTGTGGGGGGTGAGGTCTCCATTCTGCTCCACCTCAGCGGTGCTCACCTGGAGCTGAGCAAACGGTGCAGAAGGAAAATGGCTCTGGGTCCCACCAGCTCATGTCTGACCCAGAGCCACCAGATATTTGACCACCAGTGGTCTTGCAAACAATGAAAACAAACAAATAAACAAAAAAAAAAAAAAAAAAAAAAAAAAAAAACCCTAATATTTTTTTATCTTCTGTGTTCCAAATGGCAACAATTTTCCCCTACTGAAAATGTCAGCAATTAAAGCATAATCATTGCTTGGTGAGACCGAGGCAGTTCCACAAATGAGTTCACTGATTTTAAAACAAAACCACTCCCTTTACTGCAAGTAGGGATCTGTGCTTAAAATGGAGCTCGCAGCTCTCAGCGTGCCCCATAGAGCCCAGCCACCAGGCTGCCCCATCTCCCATGCAAGGACTTGAGCGATGAGCTCAGCTCCCTTTTACACAGCCCCAGTAGACAGGAAAGGTAAACTCCATTGGTTCTGTGTGACAGCCTGGCCTCACTCCAGAGAAACTCAGGGAACCCAAAGGTGCCAGCAGCTGCTGCAGAACCAAGCCTGCAGCCAGAGCTGTTGGCTTGGGTGTTGTCAGATGGCACTGGGAAGACATGCTGCGCATGAGACACTGCAGGACTTTAAGCTTCCTGCTTTCAACACATCCAACACATCCATCTTTTAAAGGAGTCCCCAAGAATGTTCCTGGGCTTTGCAATGTCTAGGTTTGTACCTATTATTGGAATTTCCTTTGGGATGAGGAAACAGGAGATAACTGCTTCAGCTCTCCCATCCCAAGCTGCAAATTTCAGAAGCAAAATTGTCACTGATTCTGCAAACAGGAGGATAAGGTATATTATGGCCCGGCATAATTCAGTCAGGTGTATCAACAGAAAGAATATTTTGGAGAAAAAAGTGATAGTAAAACGGCTTCAAATTAGAACTATTATTTCTTCCTCATTTGTTTGACTTCAGAGAACAGCACAAAGAGCTGTGTTAGGGGAGGGTGGGTGGATGAGGAAAAGGTTCTGCCCCATAGGGCGCATCTTCCCAGAGAAGTCCCTCAGGGAGCATTGGGATACCACTCTAGGACATCGAGTTTGAGTTTGTGTGGTGCTGCGTGGGTCCCTTCCATCTCAGGGTATTATGTGATACTGTGATTCTGTGAGTTGGATGGCAAGGACTCTGGAGCAAAAACCAACTCTGTTTCCATGCTTTTATCTGGCAGACACAGTGCCTGCAGCAGGATCGTGCACATTCACCACTGCAGCCAATGTTGATTCATTCATCCAGCTCTTGCTCCTCCCAAGCATTAATCAAATTAATTGGGATGCGATGGGATGCAATTTATGGAGGGTTAATGACTAACCTAGCTGGATGATCTGGAGTTATAATAGCAGGTTCAAGGCCACGTCTTATCCTTTCATGGTGCTTTTCTTTGTGAGCAATTTGTGTCCACACAGCATCTTGGGCATTGCTATCACTCACACAGGAGGTGCCGGTCGCTGTGTAAAAGCCCTGCATGTCAGATAGATGGTGCTGCTCACCCTCACACCACATCTGGCCCAAGGATCTTCCCATGGAAGGACATCCAGCCTTGGAAATGGAGGACAAACAGCTGTGGAAATGGGGGACAAACAGATGTGGATGTGGAGGATAGCCAGGAATAGAAGTGAAGGACAACCAGCTGTGGAAGTGGAGGATGAACAGCTGTGGAACTGAAGGAAAAACAGCTGTGGAAGTTAAGGACAAACAGCCTTGGAAGTGGAGGACAACCAACCATGAAAGTGGAACACAATCAACTGTTGAAGTGGAGGACAACTAGCCTTGGAAGTGGAGGACAACCAGATATGGAATACATCCCCTACTGAGGTCTCCAGCACATCTTGTTGGAATTCCAGGTGCCACCACAGCAGGATGCAATGTGGTGGAAGGGGGGTGGCTGTGCATGCCCTGCTCTGGTCCCAGTGGCCACATCCCAATGTCCATCTTCAAACCACCACTGGCTAATTGCCACAACCCAATGGCTGCATTCAGGCTGCCACTTCCCAGCTGCCATATCCCAAGGGCCTCATTCAAAACATCCCAATTCAGCTGCTATATCCTGAAGGCCATGTTCAAAACATTCCAATCCAACTGCCATATCCCAAAGGCCGCATTCAAACAACCCCAACCCAACCACCACATCACAGCTACTGCATTTGAACTGCCACATCCCAATGGCCACGTTCACCCCATCCCAATCCAGCAGCCACATCCCAACTATCACACTCAGACCATCACGTTCCATAGACATCTTCCAACCCTGTCCCCTTCCCATGCCATGCTCTTGGCTCTTCTTTCCTTTAGACATAGGAATCCTGCTGGGGAGGTGCAGGGTGGTGCCACATGGCTGTGTAAGGAAGATGAGGGCCCATCCTCCACCTCCTCCCTCCTCATCTGGGCAGCTCTTAGCGTGGAGAGCACTGGATGTCCGTGGGGACAGGCCACCTGCTGCACGTTCCCACCATGTCCCCATTTGATGCAATTTGTACAGCAGGATGTACCCTGCTCTGCACCACTGTGTTGCCGTTGCTACAGCAAGGAGCAATATCTGTGTTCCTCTTGTACCCTCCCCCAGAGAACTTTCAATGACACAACACAGAGAAATCTTTTCACCTGTCTGCAGTTTATTGGTAATGAAAGAATTTGGGGGAAGGGATGTTGGTAGAAAGCAGCAAGGCAGTAAAATTCCGGTAGCAGAAGGATTGCAATAGGGCCATGCACATGTCAGTTGTGAAGGAGAAGCGTGATACAAATCTACAAAATACGAAAGCTGCCAAATCCTCTGGAGAGCTGCTTCTCACTCCTAAGCCTGACTATGGGGCATTGCCACATTTCTTCTGCTTCCATGAATACAGCTGAAACAAGCATGTAGGCAACATGCAGGACGCGCAGGAAGCGCAAAGGAGAACATGGCCATTGAAAAAGAGACCTCAGAAGGGAAAGGAAAGAGCAGATCCGCTCACGCTTCTGCTCAGCCAGACTGGCACGAGGGAAGGAGGGCTCTTGGATGAACTCTCCGGTGACGGGTAACCCCGAGGGAGATATTTCCTAGCGGGGCCATAAATGTTTTATCCCTGGAGACTGGTGGGGTGGGGAAAGCAGCAGCGGTGCCAAGAGGGTGGTGTTCTGCTGCTGTTTGCCTCTGGGGAGGAGGCGGGATGCTTCATTTCTTTGCAGGATTCTGGGGATGTGCCGCAGGCTGGAGGCGGGCGATGCTTCTTTCCTTGGCGGTACTGAGGTTGGGGCTCAGTACTTCACGCCCGAAGATTTCACCGTTGTGGTGGTGACACATCTCCGGACCGAGGATGCTCCCGCAGGAATGAAGGTGCCACCTCCAGAGCCACACATCCTCCCACTCCCAGAGGAGAAGCCCCCATTATACACTCCTCCTCCCACCCCACAGCTGCCCCCGATGATGCTTCCTCCTCCGACTGTGCATACTCCTCCTCCCACGCCACTGCCGGCACCAAAGCCTCCAGCTCTGCCTCCAGCAATGGTGGTTCTGCCGACCACAGCTGCAAGAGAAAGAGAGGATCACTGTGTGCCAAGGGGCAGCCTGGGAATTCCAGCAAAGCATGGGAGAAATCACTCTGCAAGGAGGATGCACGGCTACTTACACACATTGACGTTGGACGGGTTGTCTCCACAGAGCCTATGAAGGGAGAAGAACATAAGATATCAGTGCAATACAACACTGCTCTTCAGGTCAGTGCAGTTGCCAATATGATTCATTGAGTTCCTGTTTCTTTTAATGCCCATCAGTAACACCGGGACACAGTCACTGTGAACACCTCATTTATATTGTAACCATAAACACTTGGGGAAAAATTAGAGTAAATGTGTTCCCAATTCTATGGACAGAGAGATTATGAACACTCAGCCCATCATAAGGAAAGGCACAACCTTGGCCAGGGGAGGACAGTGTCAAGACTCACCTGTTCTCCTCTCCCTCCAGCAGCTTCCTGTACATGGCAATCTCCACATCCAGGGCAATCTTGATGTTCAG